AATAATAATAATAATAATAATAATAATAATAATAATAATAATAATAATAATAATAATAATAATAATAACAATAATACCTCGATGCAAAAGAACAATGATGCCAAGTTGAACAATCGACCAAGCGGTTTTGGTACCCCAACGCCTCAATTAGGGCAGAATTCTGTCACTGTAAATCCTCCCTTCGTTAACCAATCTCGACAACCTCATACACATCCACCACAACAATTGAATCAATATACAATTTATCCACAACCACCACCACCTTCGGGCCAAAACCAAAATATACAGCCTCCATCTTCAAATCGACCTCATAATGCCAATGGACAATCCTGGGTGATTAACAATCAAACACAACAAAGGCCTCCACTACCACAACAATATCAACCACCACAATCACAGCCGCAAACATACGACAATCATAGTAATTGGAATATGTCAAATTCTAATCCTCCTCAACCACCATCGTTACAGCCATCCTATCAAAATAATCAGCAACAACAGCAACATCATCAGCATCAATCACCACCGACCACAGCCTCACCTCGTCAACCGCCGCATTTACAAACAAATCGAAATTTATCACCTGCTCGTTCCATAGGCCGATCACCTGACAGAGTAAGATCACCGAACGACAGTAGCAACAGCAACAACAATACTAAGTATCAAGGTTATAACAATGTTCTAGCAACTGGTTTTGATTTGAGACCCTATGAAAATCAAAACCAATTTGTTTACCAATCATCATCAATTAATCATAATGCGAGTCATGATGACGATAACGATGAAGATGATGAAGATGAAAATGAAGGCCAATATGACTATGATGACGAAGAGACTGAAGACTCAGAAGAAGAATCAGAAGAAGAATGTGACGATGATGATGAGGAATATGAAGATGAACAGCCAGAATATGAAGAACAACAAGAGTATCCTACGCAAGAAGCACATAACATTAACAACAATAATAATAGTATAAAAGAAAAAACTGCTAATACTGTTGTCGCTTCTCAAAAAGAGATATCGACACCACGATTCGCTACATCGAATCGTGGTCAACTGCTGTTGACTGTCTACATCGAGTTTGGTGATGACAGAAATCATGCGATCGAAGTGCACATAAATGATGAGCCAGAAAGGTTAGCGCAAGAATTTTGCCGAATGCACAATGCTACTAATCCTGACGTATTGCCAGCATTGGTGAATCTGATGTCGGAAGAGAAACGAAAAAGATTGGGGTGTTAATTAATTTAGTATATATCACACAGTAGCGGTAGTATTGTTTTCTGTCTGTTTCTTATTTTCTCTAATAATTTAATTAATATATATCATTTGTAGCAGGCTTTAGTTTAAATCATAGAATTTTATCTAGAATGTGAAATCTGAACAGTATCTTATCCAAGAAAAGGTCTGTACCAAATACATGCGAAATAATTATTATAGTAATACTATTTTGTGCCCTGTTCTGTAAATATCTTTAGATTATTATTATCGTTATTATTAGTGTGTATACAGTGTACAGGTCTGCTCTCCAATAAAGGAAATAATATTAGACACGTAGTTAATCACTTTAACAAAAATATACAATAAAGTTTGCGCACGGAAATTTTTACTTAATCGATGCGTTGATAGTGAGACATCAATATTTTTTATTAAATTCTTGGGATTTTACTACAAAAGTTTGGAATCGGGAAATGATCAGCAATGTAGATCACAAAATTTGATTAATATTACTCGATTTCTCTTTAAATAAACTACAATAAAAAATATATCATTTTATTCGGCAAAAGCAGGGCTATTCATACATATATTTTAATATCGGGTCGGATACTCATTTGCATCAATCACAGCTTGCACTCTTCTCGGCATACTTTCAGCCAAATTTTTTAAGTTATTAGATTTCTCTCTTTCCATTCATTAACCGGATTATTTCTGTGAACGGGAGCATTATCATTTTGAAAAAGATGAACAGAACTAGCTGGCAATTCATCTAAAAATGGTTTAAGATGCTATTCAAGTATTTTTACATATTTTTGTCCAGTTATTGTACAAACCATCATTGTCTGCGTAGCGAGGAGAGGAAGACCGGATGAGCTTCCCGCGGTTTAGACCACTGAACTACGAGATGAGAAATAGTTTGCATGTATCTACCTCAAAATCTACATAAACACATATAACCTTTTTTCTTCTATCTTGGATGTGATCGTCATCCTCGATGTGGGGCGTGTGAGAAGGAAGGTGACGCAGACTTCATGGTTTTATAACCCCCGAACCGCGATTCGAATGGAGAAAGCTACATAAACACATAACCTATTTAACCTTTCACCATGAGGGCGTGATCATCATTCTTCTACATGGGACGAATGCAAGGAGATGAAGGTCCAACAGACTTCCCGGGTTTTAAACCACCAGGCTACACCATGTGGAATGATATGAATGTATCCACCTCACTATATAGCTATGACTTTTTTCTGATACCCTTTCTTCGCTCGACTATACTCAGTCATGCAAAAAATTTCGTCTCTAATATTGAGCGATAGGGCCTCTGACTTTGTGTATTTGATCAATATTCGTCCATTACAATATCTATTAATTTATGGAAAAGTTATTTATCTTTCTTTGCCATTGGAAGGCGAATCTTCTCACGTAATTTAACATTTTGCATATTACATGAATATACTTCGAGTGTACAAAAATCATTAAATATGTCAAACATTAATATCTTGATAAAAAAATCTTATATGTCATGAATTATTGTGGTTATGGTAGTAAGAATTAGAAAGGCTCTTTGAAATCGAAAGACACTTAGTGTTATTCGGCAAGGTGAGACCCCAGTACAATGGAGTATCCGCGTTCGAATTGCTTTGCAAGGACTACATTTGGGTTATATACTCGACTTCTTATTTTTTTATATATTTCTTAGAACATATGGTTAATAAAAACTTGAGCAAAATGCTTCTCCGTTTAAGAAACAAATCAGACATTTTTTAAACAATTACCTATATTCAGAAAAGAATCATTAACAAATTTAGCACGAATTATCAATGACCAAAAAAACTTGTCGCAATTCCGAGTTCGCAATGGAGTAATAAAGAACTCGAATATTTCATAATAGTGTTACTGTGGAAGATTTCGAGAAATTTTTTCAAGAAAGTCCTCCAAAGATTGAAAGTTTATCTGAACAAGTAAAAGAACCATTATCTTTAGATCTATCTAAAGTAGGCGCTTTATTAAATATAGATTTGGAGAAATGTAAAACAGATGCAGGCTTCTAGAGTCGTTAAATCTATACTGGCCGTGACAAGGACTCATTTAAACGTTGAAAGCACAGTAGATGATCTTGCCAAACATATACTTCAGCTTTTAATTACGATGAAGGGGACCCGCGCATACAATCTCGAGAAGAAGTGAAGTTGGAAATGTGTGGATCACGAACGCACGCCAAGCCTGATATATGCATCGAAACGTCTCGTCTGATCATCAAGCTGTTAGCACAAAAGATCAGAGTTACAAAGCTTCCAATCAAAATATCGATGCTGAATCTCAGGTTATTGCTGAAGCAATAGCGTCATTTCAGGAACATAGCAACATACAAAAATTTAATCTGCCTTTAGAATCGCAACTGATCCCTTGTATAACATTGCTCGGAACTTACCCACGTTCTATTTATTTAGAGTAACTAGGGAGCTATCAGAATGTGTAAAAATGGGGGACCGCCCCAAGGAAAAGACTATAGTTAAAGATATGATATCCCGTTACCGACCTATCTTTTGAGAGATGCTATTACAAAAACCTAGACATCATATCTTTCAATGCTATGAGGCTTTTAGAAAGTTTGTGGTAAGAGACATGTAGCAGTACATTATTTTTTTATAAGTAATGTAATATCAAATTTTGCAATTTTATAATTTATACATATCTACCATTTAGCATGGCTATTTTTTGTACAATTCAAACTTAAATTTTGTAAACCCTGAAAGTAAAAAATCATTGTAATTACTAAATATAATCAATTTTATGTATGAAAAACAATGCACGTGTAATGTCTATGGAGCATTTAAAGTTTTACATAACTATTCAATGCAGTGATGGTAAATTTGTCTTTTTTTCAAATGACCTTGGTCATTTCCGACTAAAATTTATAAAATTGAGATCATTTGGGGGTCATTTGAGGGTCATTTCAAGGTCATTTACCATCATTGATTCAATGAGACCCAATTCCCGAAGATGCTCCGGAATAACTATATGTGGGTCTTCATAATACCAAACATATCTTATAACAATCCAATTCTCTTCACATAATTCTTTCTTGAGTTGATCCCGTTCTTGCTGTTTAATGAAATTATTCGGATCACCTTTATGAAAGAATTCGTGATATTTTTCGTGTTGGGGCCCTGAACTTCGATCGCAAGACCGTAATTGTAATAGAGAATATCAAGTTCTAAGTCTTTCGGATATTCTGGTATTTTCAAGAAATCAGGTCTGCGAATTGATGAAGATGCCCCCAAATATTTATTAACAACTTCACATAAATTTTCGTGTTTATTCCGACGAATGGGCACCAGGTATTGTTATTTCGAATGTCATTAAAGGATGTATATCAAGTATGATCAGCACATTTCCAATAATATCGATCTTTAGATTTGGTATATTCTTCAGAAAGGCACTCACCACCATGCAAATGAGCATTTTTGCATTTCATCGATTTAATTTAAACCCACGTCTTGCACATCGTGGGCACCAAGTATTGTTATTTTTAATTATTTAATAATATTATGTTAACAGGATTTTTAATCACCAATTTATTCTTGTATTTTGAAAGTATTTGATTATTATTGAAGAGTTCATTATATGTATTTTACATTTTATCACTTTATTTTTATTTTGCTAGATAAATAGAAATAGTATTGTTATTGACTCTTGCTCATTTTTCTTGAAAAGACCATATTAAGGATGCTTGCCGAAATCTCTTAGTAACCGCTGAAACTCTGCCAAAATTAGAATAAATTATTAGTAAATAGGGTGCCGAGTTTTGAAACCCGTCGTAATTGAAATCCTGCCGAAACTCTAATTAACAATTTCATATTGAGAGGAAACATTGAAAAATAAGAGGGAATGCAGTGTTATGTTCTTGAGGTTCGGTTGATGTAATTGGATTAGCAGAGGAAATAACCAGATGCTCAATGAAATTTGATAAATGACGAAACATTTGATCACAGACAATTATAAATATAATAGTATATAAATTGCCTGTTAGAACATGTCTACGCAAACGAAATATAAGTATAACACAGACATGAAAAATAGATTTTAATAATTGTTGGAACAATCAAAGAGAAAATAGTATTTAATAAATTTAAGTATTTAGAATATTAACCAAAATAAAATAAATGCATACTTGTATGGTACATTGGCCGCTAATTCAACAATCGTCGTTGCTATAAGAATGAGTTGTTCATATTCTTTTATCTCAAACATTAACGATCTAATATTTATATTAATAATCATATATTATATAGGTAGGAAAAAGTTTTTTTTATTAATAATATATACCCTCTCACATTCTTCCTCCTCATCAATTGAAATAATCAAGTACCTAATCAGAGGCGTGGTGATGTGTTTTGTATAAATTCAAACTTTTTCATGGGTTATTGAAGATAAATCAATTTATTAATATTAATGTTTTCAAAGATTATTATTATTCATACATTACGCTAAGCGGCCGTAAAAGAACAAAAACATTACGTATCGAAAACTAAAAGACTGTTCCAATCGAATTTAACCTAAATTAAACAATTACAAAAAAATCGAAAAGAAATGAAATAGATTCTTATAAATTATTATTATTATTATTACCTTTGCATTAGGTTTCTTCATATGATGGCGAACAATCAAATGTAAAGTTACAGTTAATAATAATAGAAATAAGGTCCTGCAAGATTCGACGAATCTTTAGATCTTTAGCAACTAAAATAAAGGGTTCATTAAATTTAAATCGAAATAAAATTTAGATAATAACCTTAAGTATTGGCTTTCTAGAGACTCATAGCCGTCTTTTCCATCATTAGCACGATTATCTCCAGCATTGTTCCCAAGAAACACTGAAAGAATCCAGAATAAGACATTTGTCGGGACAATCGGTTGATGGAGTATTTTGTCGATTAATTGATATAAGAATCGTTTGGCTTAACTAAAAAGTCAAACATTTAATATATAATAAACAATATAATTAAAGATGAATTAAATACAATCAAATGGTGATCCTTTGAAAAAATCGAGTGATAATAAAAGTAACACAGTAAACGCGCGTGCTGATTGATACCTTCTATCAAGCATTGACAAAGAGTATTCGCTATCGTAGTTTCTGATGTCTATTTTTTTAAGGTTCGTTTAATTATTAGTTTTGATATGCTAGTACAATAATATGAGATATTTTAAAATATAGATACCAATGGATCTGAGCACCGCATTTATGAAGTCGACAAGGATCTGTATCAATGCTATATTTATATTTATATATATTTATATACATTTATTACGTATCATATTATTTACAGAAATATCTATCTTTCTACCTATTTGATAAAGAAAAATTGTCATTTGTCTCTCAATTCTCTGGTTTCTATTCGTTGAAAAAAAGACGCGATATCTTCCATGATTTTTCTTTTATATGTACTGTTTATTGAAGTCGTTACCATCAGCTTTTGTGTTACGTGATGAAATTTAGAATTTAGAGTGACAACATTGTCTTAAAAAAAAAAACAGCTTGTGGCCAACAGCTAACTCAAATTTTGCCACACAAAAATGTCTAAGCATACCCTACCGCTACCCAATTTATCATTGTTGCAAAATCACCATCGATCACTATTTTATTTAAACGATTTTTTTTTCCTCGTTTAGAGGATCCAATCAACACACATATTCTCACATCATTATTATTACCTTGACTTTTTTTATTTTTTTAGATTTAACTTTTTACGACGGTAACAATTCAACAACAGCAACAGCAGCAGCGAAATCTCTGCCTTGCACAAAAAGAAAATGTCGTTTGCAACTAACGTGTGGGAATTCGACGAAGAACCAAGTTTCCATCACCCAGCCCTCCTTCTACCAAGCAAAATAGTGAAACAAATATCTGAATGCCTTGATTCGCAAGCCGATCGCCGAAACCTATGCCTAGTGCACAAATGCTGGTCACCGATAGCTATTGAGGTGTTATGGTCGGAACCCGTGTTCAAGACACCAGACTCCTTTCACTTGTTCATACGTACAGTGCAACAGTCGAAACGGTGTGCTCTTCGCGTTCGTATACTTAACTTGTGTGCCCCGGAGGAACAAGAGAAACACGCGTTCGTACCTGTCTTGCTTTCGCAACGTGAAGAGCACGTGGTAATGCAACCAATGCTTTTGTCGAAACCGAGTTTTATTATGAATATCATTAGGTTGTGTGAGAATCTCGAGAGTTTGAAGGTGTACGGGTGGAATTTAGGCGATAAAAATATTCATTCGTTGCCTCAGTATTGTCCGAGTATCAAGAAAATTCACATCATCGGAAATACACAAATCACTCAACAAGCCCTGTACTCGCTGACTAATTCTGTGGCGATAAATCTTGATATTCTCGATTTGGATGGTGACTTTAGCCTTTCAGACAACTTTGCCGAAACACTGGCTACCAAATGCCCGAATATAAAAACCCTCAAGTTTTCCACAAAGACAATGTCTTCGAACGGCTTTGATATACTGGCCGCTAAACTCTGCAATCTACGTAAATTAGTGCTGCAAGATTGTTCAAATTTAACAGACAATAATTTGAGTTATTTCGTCGAGAGAAATCCTAATCTTATCGAGATTTCAGTGCACGGGAATCTTCTAACCATTGAATCGTTCAAGATGGTCATGTATTCGCTGCAAAATCTGCAGCGGCTTGACTTGCGTTGCGCCCCACAATCGCTTAATATTCCTCACGACACACATTGGTTTGTGCCAATCTCGCAGACACTTCTTGTACTCTTGCTGGATTGCCTCCCTATCGACGATGACTTGATTCATGTCGTATCAAATGCTTGTATACAATTGGAAAAATTTGGACTATCGCGGTGCCCTTATGTAACCAATATGTCTGTCAAATATGTTGCGGAAAATGCGAGGAATCTTCATTTCGTTAATTTGCTAAAGTGTCCGAAAATAACCGAGGTTTGTCTGAAAGATCTAGGGTGCTCAGCTAATAACACTCTCACCGATCTGATTGTCGATTCATGTGGGGAATTTTCTCGAGAAGCTATTCATTGGTTCGCCGGAGTTTCAACTCGACTTGAAAAATTGGAAATTCACGGTTTACAATCAATAGTTGATTCCGACATTTATATCTTTTCAAAAGAGCATAATTATAATTCACAAGATTCCACCAATCTTCTGCGATGTACTTTCGAGGGTGAAAATATTAAAAAACTGGCTAATTATGATGTCAGTTCTTCAGTGGAAATTCCAAGAAACAATACTCAGCAATTACACAAAGAGCAGTTATTGGACTTATTAACACCTGAATACATAAAATCAGCTGACTCAATTCTTACAAACGAATCAATAATAAATGACTTAGCTTGTGAATTAGGGTTGAATGTGGATACTTTGAATAAAGCTATAAAAAAGGTGCTTGCCAAATCTAATTTACTATTACCTCCAGAGACATCTGCTGCTGCTTCTGTGGTGAAAGTTTCTCGTGCATCAAGAACAGACTCATCCCGTTCACACAAAGAGAAAAATCATGTTACAACTTCCAGTAAAGCATTGAAGAGCAACGCTGATATATCGGAAACAAAAATAAAGAAAAATCACACTGAAAAAGTAATTGATAAAAAACCTCCGCTAACCGAAGTACAACAAAAAGAACGTACGCTTCCAACTTCGCCAAAACAAGAAGCTTCATCGAAAAAAAAGGAGTGGTCGAATGTGATTCAGAAGACACAGAGTGGATGGTCGTCAATCCATGTTAAATTGCCTAGTCTACACTGTATTTCACTCAAAGAGACTGAATCCCCCGAAGTGACTTCACCTCCTGTTGTTCATGAAGCTCTTCCTATCTCTGTCAACAAAGTAGAACTTGCGATACCTTCAAGTGTCGATATGGAAAAAAATGAGCCATTGATACCCTTAAATGACGTTATAAAAAAAGATGAGTCGGTGGTATCGTCGGACGTCGTTGTAAAAGAAAAAGATGAGCCGATGATCTCTTCCGATGGAAAGGATGTATTTCCGACAGGAGCAGCAATCAGTTCCAATACACAATCCGAGAAGGCAGAAGTCACTCAGCCTCAAGTATCAATAAAACCACAAGCCCAATCTATTTCCAACCAACTACAGAACAGATCAAAACGACCAGAAACCATTGAAAAAAAGCCGCCCAATTCTCCAGCATGGAATAATCCAATTAATTTCGAAGACGAATTAGGCGGGTGGGAAGAAATGGGAATTACATCAATGCCGGCACCTCAGTCTAGGTTTGATAAGAATAAAGCGATTGACTTTAATATAGAATTGGATGATTCTGATTCGGATAAAAATTCTTTGGATCAATCTCTGCAGCAAGAAAATATGATGAACACACAACGAAAAGAAACCTCTTTTAATAATGATAACGATGATGACGATTATGATGATGATGATGATTATGATGATGATGATTATATTGCACAGGAAGCGAATGAAAATATGGGGTTTTCACCTTTTGATGAGAAAAATGATGATGATTTCCTTGAAATTTTGGAAAAGGATACAATAAGGGCTAATATTTCTCTAACTAATGAAGTAAATCAAAAAATTCAAATGGAACGCGAAGATTCAAACATATTGCAAGTAAATGGAACTTCGTCTGTTAATAATAATTTTAATAAAACTATCAATCCTGAAATCAAACCAAAACCCGAGGTACTGTCACTTGCGATGCTTGCTGAAACTATAACACCTTTGCCAAAACTACAAGAACAGCAACAATCACCACAATGGCAGCAAAACGGACAAGACCGAAAATCCGAGATTGATGAAATGTGGCCTAGTCTTTCAGACGCTTCTCGAATTAAAGATAAGGAAGTTAAAAAAGGAGATGAAATAGAACTTGGTGCATGGGGTCAAATTCCAAATATTACCTCAGTTTGGGGTACACCCAAAAAATGGAAGTCCGAAACAGAGCAAGTAAAGGTTTCGACTGCATCCGTATGGAACCCTGACGACGTTCATAAATTAAAATCTACGCCAGTTCCTGAACCAAAAGCCCCTATGTATTTCAAGAGAAAGAAAGTGCAACCACTCATTTTTGACCTCGATGACAAAGAAGGTTGGGGAGCCCCACCAGAAAAATATGTTGCATGGAGCGACCAACGACAAGGATATTGTCATGAGTTAATTCAAGAACAGAACGACACTAAGTTCTGGTCTAAAGCTAATGGCAAATGGATCAGTGTTACCGACGAAAATAAAATCAATGAAGAGGATTTAGAAGAAGATACTCGAGATCCTGAACGTCTGGATGATAATATATCAAAGAAAGGAAAACGCGTACGCGGCGACGGAAAAACTTGGGAAGCGATACGTGATAACTCACGAGCTTTCGAATCATTAGAAGAGAATGTAAGAAAGGATTTAGAATCCGAAAACTCATTTTCATCGTTCCTACAAAATTTGAAGAAACCCAAATCTGAGCGTCTTGGTAATCCGCGATGGAAAACAGAAGAGGAATGGCGCAAGATTGAAGTTGATGATAAACACAGGATTAAATCAACAACGACTAATCTCAGCGACTTAGAGAATAATGAGGATGTCTATAGATTATCCGAAAATGACGAAGAGGATGATAATGAAACTGACTTGATAGACACAGATCAAATAAAAGATACTTACGAGACCCCATTGAACGAACAAAAAGAAGAAGATATCTTATTGCCAAATATTGACTCTGGTCATGGCTCAGAGGAAGAAGCCCTTAACGACAAAGCAAAAGCAATTGTAAGTGAACTCGAAGAAAATAAAGATCAAATTAATCTGATAGATATCTCAGTTGATGAAGTAGCAGCAGTTGCTTCGTTACAGAACCAAACGTTATTGGATAATAATCAAAGAGAAATTACAAATGCCGACCAAAAACTCGAGCAATTTGAGTTTATTTCAAATAATAATAATCTTTCTTTGATGGACGAGTCAACAAATCCTATTATTAATGAGAAGGATGATAATAATAAAGTGGAAGGAATCACTTCAAATGAACATTGCTGTGAAAAAAATTTCTCTACACGATCCGTTCCAGAAACCAATAATGAAATTGTTAATGCTGGTAAGAAAACGCTATTCTGCACTAAACAAAAATAATAGATAACCAGAATTTCTGTCCGACCAATAAATATGCCTTTACAAATGCAGATATTCTTATCAAAATGAAAGTCGAAACCCCTAAGGATGGAAGTCAATCTCTAATTGTTAGCAAGGTTAGATTTTGTTGGCTGGTTTGCATGCATGCATTCATTCATTCATCTAACATACTTCTAACGATTAATTCAATACAACACACAAACAGATGGACAACTTAGAACAAGTAGTCGGCGACTTCTGCCAAAAATGGCAAATGAAAGAGTTAAAAGAACTGCTGCAAAATCTCGCCAAAAAGAAACTCAAGTCTAAATTGAAGGGAAAACATTCCAGCAGTAAAAATATGATTCCCAGTTCTAATACGACAACTCTCGATAGCGTTATTAAGAATAATATAGTCTCGCCAATTCCAAAGAATGAAGAGGAGCAATGACAACAATAATAATAAAGAAGGTAATTGGGGGTGGAGGGAGAGGGAGAGGGAGAATGATGAATGAAGGGGGGACATAAAAATATATATATATAAATCTTTATTGATTGCTGCCGTTAATGAAATTCGCGATTTATAAGTTTGGCAACAGCACTAGCTAAGATAAATCGCTCATTCACTCATTCGCTGTATATATGACATTCATTGTAATAATACTGTTGCATGCCTTTTTGTAAAATAAAATTCATGAAAATTCGCATTCTTCTCGTAACTTTATTCTTATTTCATGAGATTGATTTATATGAACTCAAAAAATAACGCATCAAAATTTCAGCCACCCTTCCGGAAAAACATACCCTTCACTCCGACTATTCACAACTTCAACAACCTCCTCAACATCATCCCACGTCAATTCAACACCATACAAGTGCGGGAACAGCTCTGTACTTGAAGGAATACCTTTTTCCCATTTTACACCCTCTTTAATTCTACCAACGTATGGTACACGTAACACTTTTATCAAATTATCATTAGAGAAAAAACGAGCAGCTGTTGCAGGAACTTGATGTGCTGTTGAGAGGTGAATAAAGCCGTCTTGGTGATCTAAGGCTGGTAATGGTAATTTTTCGGTTGAAGAAGCCAAGGCGGTGGAAACAAGTATTTTGTAGACATAAGAAACTAGTGGTGAGGTCATTGCTTTTTGCTATTCAGAATTTTTTATTGGTCAGTGATACGATACAACGATAGACAGTAGTTAATCATGAACTAATATGCAAAGTAAGGTAATTATATCGAGATCACAAAAAATTGGAAATGACTCAAATGACTCAAGATTCAAATATTTTAAATGAACTTACTGAGGCCCTCTTTGCGGGTAATATATATCGCTAGTAATGAAAAAATTTTGTTTGTAATTGATTTCTTATATATTATATAACTTTTAATGTTTAACTTTTACTATTGAATGATGAATGATTAAAAGATAGATTTTTGGATTGATGATGTTGACATGATATCAAGGTTAAATATGTGTTATCAATACACTCGACCAAACTTTATCTTCGATTAGCTCTCGCTTGGAAAATTTATCCTTGGAGATTGACGAGTTGTTTATATAACCGGTCATAAGCATGTCGTCATTATCAATTGCAATTCGCTTCACAAAGTATAAAAGAATTTCCAGAGAAGAACGAAATGCTGATGCATTTTCCGATGATAGGGAACCCTCTTGTCATTATAATAATTTGGTCTGGGATTGGTTCTTGCAATAATAATAACTCTTTGACATCGTTTATTAATGTCATTGATTAATGCACATAAAGAAAAGTTTCCAAGTACAGTAGCGATCATAAGTATCCGACCGTCCCTAACCTTTTATAGATCATGCGTATCATCCTAAACAAAAAATAACATAAATGCTGATCATCTACTCCTTTTAAAGTTGGTAGAACTTCTACATCGGGTGTTTTATGTTCATTAAAA